GAATTTAAATATCTCCTATTATCCAACTTTGTTAGAAAAAAGTCCTACACAAATGTGATGCAATGTCAGAAGATCAATCAGGCATGGGAGGGGCTCAAAAAAGGGATCTGAAGGGGCCAGACAAGTAGCACGTTGGTTAAGAGTTGGCTTGGGATGCCAGCTCTGAGCAGCAGGGCCCCGGTTGGAATCCCACATGAAGGCCAGTGACGCTGCGCCCTCTACAGCTAAGATGGTGAACAACAGCTCGACCTGCAATGGGGCTGCCATAAGCCACTGTGAGCGGCCATCCAATGGCCGGCAACCGACTGCCTCTCCCAGGAAGAGCGCAACGATCACAATACCAACATAGGCCAGTGAAGCAACATCCTCCACAACTAGACTGAAGAACAAAAGGACAGCAACTTGTCTGTTCCTCTTCCCCGATTCCCCAATGCTGTTCCCCTCCTCCAATTCCCCAATAAAATCTTTAAAAAAAAAAAAGGGATCTGAAGCAAAAGAGCTCCCAGAAGGGTCTTTTCAGAACTGAAATGCTAATTCTGCTCTTGGCATTTTTGAGAAGGCCCATCTCCTCATCGCCAGAACCCATCAAGTCTGATGGGTGAGGAGTATGGACACCGCAAAGGAGCAGCACACCCAGAAAAGGCACACTGCCCACCAAGAAATCAAAACCCTTGTGAGTCCATTGCTTCAGCATGTAAAAGTTACCAAACCCATAAGGTCAACAGGCTGCCCAGAGACCAGAGTAATGTCCTTGGACTCACAGTCTCCTGCTCTATGTGAAACAACTAAAAATGATGTGTTTGGGAGGCAGTAAAGAGCACACTCCAAAACCAGACAATCCGGGTTCAAATCCCAGCTCTGCCACACACTAGCCAGGTGACCTTGAAAGATTCACAACCTCTGTGTCTCAGTTTCCTCATCCACAAAATGGGGGTGACAACAGTAGAGTAAGCACTCATTAAATGATGCCTGCTATATTGTTTTTCAGAAAGTCTTGTCCAATCCAGGCAGTCCTTCTGACACTGTCTTTACATCATGGCATATGTGATAGTATGCCTTTTCCTCCAACCCCATCCCAAGAGCAAAACTCTTTCAACAAAGTTGATGGGGGGAAAAAAAAACAATAAGAAAAAGGCCTACATTAACTATTTCATTAAATGATGTCTGGGAGACAAAAACCAGTAAGTACTCATAGACTCCACACTCATAAGGAAGAAGGTAATTTAAATCAACAGTTTAAACTCTTTTTCCATAAAAGTACAATTTTACTGTTTGATATAATAACCAAAGGAGACTTTCTCCCCAACTAAGAGATAGGTAGGAGTTTAATTTTTAAAAGATATAATCTATGAAAATGCACTGATTCATTTTCATAATATCTCAGATTACTTTCACTATCAAATAACATTCCATTTAAAATATCAAGTTAACTTTTAAATTGCTAAGAAGTGACCTATCTTTAATTCAAATATATAATTATAATTTGGGGTTGGGATTTTCACAAATTCCTTTAGAGACAGGAAATATCAATTAGCAATAATGATAGCTAACGTTTCTTACATACTAACTAAGCGCCTAATAAGCTAGGTGTTAATTTCTACATATTACCTCATTCTCTTAATCCTTTGAGGGAGGTATAGGCTCATTTCAAAGAAAAACCTCAGCTTTGAAGTTGACTATTAATGGTTCTGACGGAGAACTGATTGCTAGCACCTATGTGAAGTTTTAATACTAAAATGATATAGAAATGTAAGACTCAAACTTTAATGTCCATGTGAATCACCTGGGGAATCTTGTGAAAATGCAGATTATGATTCAGAAGGTCTGGAGTGATGCCTCTCTTATTCTGCATTTTATTTTTCTTTTTATTTTTATTTTTTTAGTTTTTTAAATTTAACAATCCCTACCGTATTTGCCGGCGTATAAGACGACTTTTTGGCCCTGAAAAATATGCCTCCAAGTGG